ACTGCATCTAAATGTGCAGATGGGGTTGTCAGGCAAACGACACAGTATCTTAAAATCGTTTCACGTACTGAATGATAATTAATTATTAAGACATACATGTGCAAATGGTGTGGAACAAGATTTTGTAAAGTTTGTTTGGTCGGAGACTTTCAAGGAAAAATGAAAGCTGAGGACCACTGTTTTGTTTGCAATCAGGTAAATTCCCAACACTTTACTTAGTTTTATAAGAACGTGGAGACACCTGCTTATCTCAGCTATTATTAACATATTTCATATGGATTTAAAACCCATAATCTAGCCTTACTCGAGTTTTATGCATTAGTGACAAAGGGAAAAGCTAAGCGAAATTTAGTTAACCTTGATGAATGGAAAATCTTGTCTAGGCAATTAGATTATACTGGTTTAATTAGCAGCTCATTCGGCAGTTAGGAATAGATCGTGCTCAAAGGTACGTTTTAATGCTTAAAGTAACAAAACTGATGTTTATGCACTGAGTGTATAAGTAGACAAATTTGCACGAGGTAAAAACAAGTGGTTCAGGGACATATTTCAATTCCTGTCTAACAAATAAAGTTTTTATGAATTTGAATCGGCATTGATTTGGGGATTTATCTGTTTTTAAAGCATCAAGATCTATCTGGTGAGATGTCGTCAGTTCCAGATTTATAGCACATAGTTAACCTAATATACATAGCCAATCTCTAGTTTGTTTACACTGGTGCCTTATGTAAAAATGATCAGAAATACGTAATGCGATATTACCAGTCACTAGCACAGAAAACAACGGAGACGAAATATTCACATAAAAATGACTCACTATTATCTCAAACATTTAGGGTATACTTAGTGAGACAATCATCAAATATACAACGAAATAGAAACAAATCCCCATATTATGTTCGACACGTTAAGCGAAAACATTTTAAATGATGCCAATCTTTATCTTACAGTCTTTTACTATTTCTAAATCCATTTTCAGTTAAGATGTATTGGAAAACGCGTGGAATATGTACCGTCTACAAAGAAACCAGAAACAAAACCTATGAAGAAGGGAGGGGCGAGAAAAGGGAAAAAGAAAACAGGAAAAGGTGCAAAGAAGACTGGGAAGAGTAAAAAGAAGAAAAAGTAGATACAAAATTACGTTTTTCGATCCACGAAATTATAACCCAAGTCACAGCTGCATAATTTTATTTAAAGAACATAGATCTTTAGAAAAGTTTATAGTACCCCAGTAGACAGTGTTTGATTAGCTACATTATAGTTTAATAAACATGAGTACTCAGTATATTATTGGAAAGTGGTACAGTTACACAATGAAATATATTAGTTATTATGAGATATTACTCGTTTTTTCCTTTTAGTTGCTAGCTTTAACTAGGGTGAAAGGAATTAGATTTTGATGTTTAGATATTTCTGTGATCCATCTAATTGGATTTCATTTTAGAGGAGATAAAATATTCAATAAATAAAAATAATATATTTGTAAAAATCAACTCAATGCTCGATTTATTCGAAATTATCAAATCAAAACTTGGTAATGACACCTAAAAAATATTTAATAGGTGATTAAGTGACTACAGTCGTGCTATTGACGAGTCAAATGGTTGTAATAAAAGTATTACAAACCGTAATAAATCTTAATTTGTGAGACAATACTACACTCAAGAACCGTAGTTTAGCAATTATGCAATTCATGTTAAAACTATGAAACTGCCATAAACATACATCCCCATTCCTCCCAAAGTCTAAAACGAGACGAACATTAGGGAAGTTGGGACTTTCGGAATAATTTTACCGACTATTTCTTATACTTTTTTGTTGTATAAATAGTAGATAACTGTATTGTTGCATTTCTATATTCAACTTATGGAAAGCTTTTGATTGACCTATTAACTGTTGTTGCACGGTTCACTATTCCTTATTTATTTTAACACATAGATATTGGTACAAGGAGGCACTAAATACATATGCACCACACAAATCTCATTCGATATGTGTGAGGGCTGTGATACTGCTCGGGTGTCCAAACCGAAGCAGGTGGTTTTCTTAGGGGGCCACTTCCCGAGCCTTTGACCTGAAAGTCTGATCCACAAGGTAGTGGAGCATCGTGAGGAGATGCTTCCCATGGTAGCCGGTGACCAACAACTGGTTCATACGCCATTTGTTCCTTCAGGATACTGGAGTCCATGTGCACCATTGGTTTGGAATTCGGTTAAAGTGCCGGACATTCGCTTTTCGTCCTCTCATTTTCGTAAACAACACCCCCGCCACGAAAACGCAGTGAGTAGGACATCCCTGGCAGAGGCTACATACGTGTGGCCATATGAGAGCATTTAGAGAGGGAGAGCGGACTCTCCCCACTCTCGGCCGTGCCAGGGCATTCGGGGGCTCACTATTCCTTAGTCACTGCAAATAAACTATGTATTGTTTGCTCCACACTCTACCACTTATGATTGTGTTTAAAGTGTGACTCCTTATTCGATGTGTTATGTAGTCAGTCATTCCAAGTATATTATCTGAGTTTCAAGTCACTAGTGAACTGAGTAAAATAGAGAACTAATATGCGTTCTACTATCGTCTTTTGGTTGGCTACTGGGTTAGAAAGAGCTTGAGAACCAATAAACATTACCGTACTGACTGCTATTTATTGGTTAGTGTGTCGATTGGTAAATCGATGGGCTGTCCTACTGGGAGTATATGTGAACTAGTCGATAACCGGAAGTATGCCTAGTACATCTAGCGAGTGATATCAATTAGAATCTTAAGTCATAACACATTAGGGATCAAAAGACAATACCAAGCTTGTGCAACCAACTGTCAACAGGGATTAAAAAGCAGTCATTTAAACAAATAAAGGCTTATTTTTCCCCAGTGTATAGTGCGAAATAAGGAATTTCTATAATAGAGGGCTGTTACTTAAGCTTATATACTGCTCTAATATCGGAAGTTCTAAAGTATTCGATTTCTGAAGCCAGTGCAGCCTAGTTGATTTAATAATCAAACATAAAATTAGTCTTGCTTAGATAAAAAAAAGTAGACAGTTGAAATGATTGTATTAAGACTATTCGCAAGACTCAGTGCCAAGATTCCAATTCTCTCTAATTAATGGCTAAAGTCCTTAAGCGAAATGGTTTAAAATAGGTTATAATAACCCAGGTACTTCCATCCCTTATCTGTTCTTAGATCTTCAGATTCCCTGTTATTTCATAATTTTTATTCTGTGAAGTGATTTCTTTTTTTCGGACGACATTCTTTATGTCGATTTCCGTTCAATTACAGACACTATTACTACTACAAACTCTTTGTTATGAATCATCTTTCAGTGCTGATGAGGTTCGATAACTTCAGCTGATATATATTTGCGCCACAATCTACATTGACTATGACTAAAATACTTGTACTAAAAAATTGGTTACTGAAGGACTCAGAAATAAATCATGACAAAGTTACGATGGGGTTTTGTTCTCCAGCTCAGAGAATCAAACCCCATCAAAATCATCCACCTGAGCTACAAATCTTCTCCACCATCTCATAACAAAGTTAGTAAATCATTGCATTTTTTGACATTTAAATTAACATATTAAGACACATAGAGCTTATAGTTTTACATATCCGTTTTTATTATTTTAAAAATCTGTTTACGTTAAAGAAATACTTATTCTTCAATTTACAAATAATTTCGGAGGCAAAATTACTGACTGATCAATGAAGTAAGCTCTTTATAGTTTTGAAAAGAGCAAGAACAAAGATTCTAGCAGAATAGCATGAATTCATTTTATTTCGTAGGTTCTCGTCAGCTGCTTACAACGTGTGATACTTGAAAATCATAATTACATAATGAGCTTAAATTGCTTACTGAATATTGTAAATACATACCTAATGTGAAAGAATATTCTACAAGATTAATTGTGACAACAGTTCAAAAGTGGGTTAGAAACAATTGATTACATAATGAATAAACATTGATAGGAATATAGTGAGTAGAGTTCAGTTGATAGTTGAAAAAATAAAATAAATGTGAAACGTATCAACAACAGTCAAGCTTCTTCACTGAACCTCTACAACTGTATATTAAATTTCTTCCCTTGAATTTGCAATCGACTAAAACTATGAATAAATGTTATATCTCGATACAGTCAGTCTATGGTCTTTGTTTCAATGTCAACCCAGTGCCAAAACACCCTAGTACGGTCGAGGGTGGAGAGAGTCAGCTCTCTCGAAGTGTTCTCATATGGCCACGCGTATACAACCGCTGCCACAGAAGTCCTACTCGCTGCTTTCTCACCGCAAGGGTGTTGTATACGAATTAAGAGGACAAAAAGTAAATGTGCGGCGCTTTGACCGGGTTGATGGATATGGAGAATTCAGCTAGGGGGGTTGGGCTCCAGAATCCTGCGGGAAAAATGGCATATGAACCTACTGTTGGTCACAATGGAACTGCATCTCCTGACGTTGTTCCACTGCCTTGAGGATTAGACCTCCAAGTCAAAGGCTCGAAGAGTGGCCCTCTAAAAAAACCACTTCAGTCTTGACACTCAGACAGTATTCCGGCCCTCACACAAGTCAAATGATGAAGTGTGGTACATGCATATTTGGTGCCTCCTTGTACCAATGTTTATATGTTTAAATAAATAAATGAACTGGTTGGACTCCTACTAATTACAAATCACTTTCATTACAACCTCACTAATTGATCTTATGTAAGTAAATCCTTGAACCTCGCCATTAATAAGGAGCAACAGATATGTTCTTACTTACTTCCAAGTCTTTTAGTACTATCTTGAGAATCTATAACACCAGAATTGTGCACTGCTATATTGTGTCATCTATTCGTATATTTAGTCAATTTTATCAGTGAAATTATCTAGATTATAACTGGTCATTTTTTACGTTTAAGGCAAACAATATTCCGTTTGAATGAATTTATATAAGGCTCTGTGAATACACAAAATAAGAACATAGTATTCATATTTGTTATATTTTTTAGCAAAATAATAAATTTACATCAGTTCTTCATTAAGCAACTCATCGATGGCAAGCTCTCCTGACTGCTTATCTTTGAGATACTTTTGAAAGCCATTGGTTTGTTTAAATTTGTTGATTAGTCGTTCGATTTGTCTGGATGTCAACTGATAAACATTCTTCGGATCTCTACTCATAGACTACAAGATAGAAAGGATTATATCTTAAGTTAACGCACTCACTTCGAAATCATCCTCAGGATACATCTCTAAGTTGTATATGCAAAACAACTGGTCATCTTCGGAAACAAACACAGGTTTTTGCTTTTTATGTTTGGCTAACTCTTCTAAAACTATAATCGAGTAGTGTAGAACATATTGAATAAACAACGAATAATCTCGCCTTTTACGACATTAGTCTTTTTCTGTCTTGGCATATTTTTTGTGACTGCATCATTATCATCATACTCTCCATTTGTTATAACCTGTAGTTAACAAAAACAGAACTAGTTAGATAATTCTGACAAGACTACCTGATCACAATTATTTCCAAGTGCTTCATTTGCATCGTAAGCTAAACCCAAACGGTTAAAATTTGATTTAACAGATAATCCATACTTCCAAGCTGAATTAATGACTGGGCTGATATGAAACATTTATCATTAAATAAAAATTTATAAAGATAGTTTGTATTCAATAAATGGAAACTAAACACAAATTTAAAGAGCAAGAGTACGTAAACTTAGTGCAATATCATGATTGCATCAAATGCCTAACCGCCTATAGTTAAAAGACCAGTCATCGTACTTCAACAAATACTTTATTAGTGCATAAAGAAATTAAAGACATTCAAACCATTCACAGTACTCAGCTTAAACACTAGGTCAGCTGGGTTCATATTAAACTGAGATCATCTCAATGATCAGATGTCAACAGTTCAAAGAACAGGAAAAGTTAAAGATAGGAATAAGTGTCGTCAAATGTAATAAATACACGACGACTATAGTTACATGTTTAGAATGTGAAATAACAGCTGGCCATAGTTAAAATATTTCGCAAAAATTTATGCTGGCTAAGGAAGATAAATGGCAGCAACATTATTGAATGTGAGTGGTATAATTATTTTATACAAAATATTTTTGAAGATCAAGGAAGATACAAACGTAACGAGGGTATCAAAGGAATTTGGTGCTTACACTTAACTTATATATAACCAAGCTCTGATACTAAATAGAAAGAAATCACAAGTGTGAAATAAGCTAAGATTCTTCATTTAAAATGACTTACTTTTTGATTTTTAATTTTGCCTTTTGTTTTTTGCCTAACCGCTTCCGATTTCGAGAATAACTGAAAGTGTGCTTTTTTCCCATCTGCAAAGAAGGGAAAAGTAATAGTGATCTGAAATGTTTAAAATAAACACAAATAGTAAACAACAAAAATATAGAAAGCTTAAGGTAACACACCTTACGAACGTTCTGTTTGTCAGTATTCTAAATAACCCTGAATCTTCGGGTTTTCCATCGATATGCAATATACGAAAGTATGTAACGAAATTTTTCCGGGAATTACACACGTTGATAATTTCCAGTTCATGCTCTGAACAACCAACCCAGTAACCAAGTAATGCTTCGTAAACTCGCATATATATATATATATATATATATATATATATATATATATATATATATATATATATATATATATATTCGGCACCCTCTTGTACCAATATTTATGTGTTCAAATAAATAATAAATAACTGTCTAAACTAAACTCAGCAGGTATCCTTTAAAAATTAAAACCCAGTAGTGGAAATCATATCCTTCGACGATAAGGAGTGATAATAAAGATGTGACTGTTTTTCAAAGTATAGGCTAAAGTACTTATCTTGAATAATAACCAGTTGGAACCTTAGATTTACTAGTCGATACTGAATGCCACTGTTTTATATGACAATTGTCATGGTAGTTTAAACCACTCTGGGTTTCTTAGTTTCTTTAATCCTTAGGTATGGTAGCCTACGTAGAAAGGACAAGAAGTCGAAAGTTGCCTTGTCTTCTTCTTTGAAACACACTGAGGCAGATTGTAGACAAATTTGTAACAACCTACGTTTCTGTTAAAACATCACTTTGGATTATGTTTTAATAGTCTGAGAAGAAGCAAAAGTCATGTATGTGCTCGCGTCGTCGGAAAACGGTTGTCTTCCAGGGGAATCAAGGTTAAAAGCCTAGTTAGATAACTATTATTCCGGTAAATATGGAAAGCGCTATCCAACGGAACGGTTGGCGATTTACTTAAGGACACCGCTTAGACACTCCAAAAGAAACTTTGTTGAAAGCCTATCTAATAAATCTATTGAAAAGGACGTCAGACATCAACATAACTATGCTTGGAAAACATTACTACGAAACATTTGCACCTTGTTGCAAACAGGGTTTAGAATCCAGTCAATATTCCCAAGCTCCCAACGTTTGGGGAAATTCCCCAAAATTTACTATAGCGGCTTCCCCAAAATTGGGAGCTTGGGTTACATTAAACCCGGTCACAAAAACATTCCTTAAATGATTGCTAGGTTGTCGATGAAAATAATGTTCAGTTTTGTCGAAAATATACAGACTACTGCACATGACATACAAAAGAAACTAAGCCACCCACAGATACTGACCTACAGGTTGGGATTCGAATTTTCCTGTGGGTCTTCGAAGTTCAATATTTCCGACGGCTTTATGAAAAGATTTTAGTACTTCCGAGAGATTGAGGATGGAACCGGTTAAGAATCCCTCATTTTAAAAGGTGAAAGATCAATTATCTTCCGTGTTGTGGTCTAGGTATGTGGAAGCAATCAGTTTCAGTTCGGAAAGTACGGGAGGCTTGGTGGCCTGTGTTAGTCCTGGCAATGATGATCTCTCAGTTGATCCAACTTTCTTTTGAAGGACTTGACGAATATGGCTTCAATCACGTGTTGGGGTAATGAATTCCACCCGTTGATGATTCGATGGTTAGATTGATAGTCAAGTAATTTGTTCTGGGCTTGTGAACATTTTTGGAGTGTCCTCGTAAATTCTCTGTTTTGGAAGACAAAAAATAAGGATATATCAGACGCAAATTTATCACCGTGTGGTTTTAAAACTGTAATCAAGTCACCTCTAGTTTTTCGATATGACACGGGAATAGGCTTGGCTTAGCCAATCGACCATCATACAGGAGTTTTGCTATACCGGAAATCAGTTTAGTTACGGTCCTTTGGAATTTTTCCAAAACCTCTCTGTCTCTTTTTAGACAAGAGACAGCCGCTTGTATGCAGTACTCAAGTTTAAGATGCACGGATACTTTATACAAAAAGGATTTATGATCAACATGGCTATAGGCCCTACGTGTTGACAACAGGGTGTGGTGGTCGGTATTCGATATATTCCTTAAACTTCGTATACAATTCGTCTTGATGACCGTCCTAGATAACCCCAACGGTATATTATTCAGAAGGCAAATACGAAGCTTTGATTACGTTTATTTCGAGACCACACACAGATGTCCAAAATTACAGATGCATTAAACGAGCATTAGGAGTTGTGCCGAACGGCAAACAGGCAAGCGAGCAACTGGGCGAATATAAGTAATCGAGTACAATCAAGCGAGCGAGACAGCAGAGAAAGCAAGCAAGCAATATGAATAACATGGACACATATATATATAGTGAAATGAATGAGTCATCGAATCAAATAAGCGGTTAGTAGTAAGACTAGCAGAGTGAATAAATGCGTGGGCCGTATGCAATATTCAAGCGTACATTTTCATACATTCGCAATAGTAATAAAGATACAGTGATTTAGGTAAGTAGTTGTACGGATGACTCAGTTCGTTGGTAAGTTAATAAAATGACTTAATTGAACTAATAGTGAACAAACTCGGTTTCACGTGATCTGCTATAAGGGTTCTGAAACCTTTGGAGGCTGTCTTACATCAGTGCACAGTAATTCTTAAGTCTTGGCTAACGATGACTCCTAAGTCATTTTGTGTCTGAACAACAGGCAACTCAGTGTTATTCACCGTCTATGTATCTTTACATTGATGATCGATATGCATCGCAACGCACTTGGAAGCATTTGTATGCAACTGACAAATTTTAGAACACTCAGACAACTTCTTCAGGTCATTTTGAAGCTCTAAATTATCACCTTTACTTCGTTTATCGCTCTTCACATCATGAAATTGCCAGCATACAACAAGAGCGATGGTGATAGGAGAGGAGGAAGGTCATTTACATACAAGTGGAATAAAGCTAGCTTCAAAACTGTACCCTAAGGTACTTTGCTAAGCACGATTTGCCGGCTAAACAACTTTGAGTTCACCCGTACTCCATGTTAGCGCACGACTAGGAAGTCTTCTATCCACATTGATAGATAGACTCCAACCCCTACATTTCTTAACCTATATAATACTCCGTTGTGGTGAATTTTGTTGAAAGCCTTTCTGAAGTCAATGTAGGCCACGTCTATAGGTAAGCAAAAGAGAGTACCAGCTTCCATGAGCCACTAATAAGTTTATGGGGCAGGAATAACCTATTCTACAGCCATTATGCTACTCCAAATGGATCCGACTTTCATTGAGATACTTAAACAGATCCTTCCGAATAATTTTTTCTCAAATTTTAACAACCCCGCTGATTGGGCTAACGGGTTGATAGTTCTCAGATTTATGTTTCGTGCCTGTTTTAAAGACTTAGGACTTACTATGGCGTTCCTCCAGTCTCTTGATAGTCGACCCTGGGTTACGGATAGATTAAAACATAAAGTTCAGGGGTCCGCAACGAAGTTAGCTAGTTCATTTAGTAACTCAGGATGCAGTTCATTGAATCCCTTGAATTCGCCTGTATCAAGCTCGTTTGGCAAACCAAAGACATCGAGTTCTTTAATAGTCATGTTGTCCGGTGGGTGTGTGGATCTGTGTAGACTGATAGGGTGTTTCCACGGTATATACATTGCTAAAGTAGCTTGAAAATAATTGAGTTTTACCATAGTCTTTCTCTACTATTGATAGAGTCAATCGGTACATCTAGTTCCGACCGTTAGTTGAGAAAGCTTTGAGAATTTGTGTAACAGATCCGAAGCCTATTTAAATGGCAGAAACGTAGAAGTTTCAGTAAGTAAATGAGATTTAAATTCATAGACACTGTATCAAGACCTTAAGAAAATGCCAGTTGTTTTAGGAAACGTGTGTGAAAGATTTGACCTTTTCCAGAGTTTCTCTATACATTGTGGTCGCGTTGGTTCCCATACTGTTGCATTTCGGGATCTTGCTTCTCCCCATGTGTATATTGAAGTCTGTCGATGCAGAGGCTGCTTCTACACTGTTTGTCTTGACCTGTATTTATTGATGTGTATGGGATAAATGAGCCAGGTCATCTGCGAAGTCCAAATCGTCTAGTTGCATCCAACCTGTTCATTTTATTCCGTGTCTTCCTTCAGATGTGGTAATCATAAACCATTCAACCACCAGAAGAAAGAGAAAAGGGGGAAGCAGGAAGCCTTGTCTCATTCCGGTCCTGTCTTGGAATGTATCTGTCAGCCGTGCTCCATGCACCACTTTGCACTGTAGTTCGTCGAATGAATTCCGGATGATGTTGAAAATTTTCTCAGGTACTCCGTAGTGCCTAAGAACTTTCCACAGTATCCTCCCATTCACAATGTCAAATGGTTTCTCGTAATCAAGGAACTTGATATATAGTAACAAGTTCCATTCAATTGATTTTTCAACAATGATCCTTAGTGTTGCGATTTTGTCTGTGCACGACCGATCCTTACGGAATACGGCCCGTTGATCTCAAAGTTAAGTGTCTAGTGAGCCGTTCATACGATTCGGAAACACTGTTAAAAATCTTTTCTGGTACTAACAGTAGTGTGTTACCTCTGTAATTCTCTCATTTGCTCAGATTTCCTTTCCGTGGTGTTTTGATGAAGTATCCTTCTTCACAGATCATCGGCGTTTGTTCGTCTTCCCAAATCTTCCTGAATAGAATGTTGAGCATGTTTGCATTTACTTGAACGTCTGACTTTAATGCTTCACCTGTTATATTGGCAGATCCTGCTGCTTTCCCACTCTTGATTTGCCTGATGGCCATCTTGATATCTTTGGTCACTGGTGGAGTGACAACTATAGTGAGGTCTGTGTGCTGCCTCGATGTCCTATGGATTCAAAGGAGCCGGCCTATTTGCGAGTTCCTCGAAGTGTCCTACCCGTCCGTTCCTCTGTTTTATATCCCAGTGAAATTAACTCCGCCTGGAGTCCCTCCGGAGGCTACTGCCTGCTCCAAGCCCAGATAAAGGAGGAGGGTTGGGCATGGGGTTAGCGTCCCCATCCCGTAGAAAACTAACTC